AGTTCTAGCAAAGAAATCATCGCACAATCAGTGGTTCTTTTGAATGATTGACTGGTTTTCCTGTTTGAACTAATTGTTCAAGTTAACCAATTTATTTGCGCAACTAAAATATTGAGTTGAATGTAAAAAACGTAATTCGGTCAATTTCTTGGAGGAAAAATCTCAACGGAACGTTCGGTTCAAAATATAGCTCAAAACACTACTTTATGCATTACATCGAAAATTTGCAATGTCATAAAAAATGCCAGCCAATATGATGCAGTATGTTTTTTCCTATTTGTTTTCTTTATTCCCTGTTCTGTTTGTAAAAGAAATAAAGTCGACTCCTCGTTTCAATAAGAAGACTAAAATTCCACGCCCTTCCTAAAGCCCCAAAACATTGAATGCTCATTTCCATTTCGGTAACAATATACGTACGTGTCGACTTCCCACTTCCGCATCACTTGAAGTGAAAGAACACTTCATTCAGTCCCAGTTATATGTAGATGGACGAGGACATACTAAAGTGCATTGAGAGAAATTACAGTGTATATAAAATTATTCTCAGTAGAAAGAACATTTGGTATGAATTTTATGAATTTGGAAGAGTCTGAAATTATGACAATCGAGAGAGGGGGCTTATCAAAGATGAGAAACATGATCTTTGTTTCAGCTGACCATGTTGAACAACACAGCATTAGTAAACTAAAACTTTACTGACAAATTTAGTAAAAACATCACAATAGTTTTTCATAGTTTTTAGTCAGAAACTAAAATTTCCCTGCATAAAGTTTCATCATTCGTGACAAAGAGAAGCTTATTCGAACGCGATTTCATCGCTTGTGAACGGCAGCTTCGCAACGATGTGTTCCTAAAATAATGTTTAGGGAATAAAAAACTGCGCATTGAAGATGTTCAGTGAAAAGCTTTCTTATAGGTTTAATTAGGCCGCACAAACGGTATTGCAGATTGTCATATTCAATCATTCTTGAAAAAATTTAAGAGAACTTTGAAATTGCTCACTTCTTATGAACTTTATACTGTTTTTGAAGGATCGAAAAAACGTCGTTGCCTATATTCTCTATAGAAAATTTAACCTCATCGCAATCTTTACACCCTCACCTCAATTAACAACAGATTTTAAAACTCCACTTCAATCAAATAACTTTTCAATGAAACTAATTTCCACTATGAATGATTATGTTCGTCACTCAGAGATTTTGAAATTTCTTCTTAGATTGCACTTCCTGAATTCCTAGGGCTGCACTCAAACCTCCTCTTTATTAATAAATAAAAAGAAAACTCGTATAAAGACGTTTTGAATGTCAGGTAATCAAGATCTTATGTTATTTAATATTTGGAACCTTAATTAATAGATTCGCATTTACTCAGGTCGGCCGTCACTACCCTGCGTGACAATTCTCGCATGACCGGACGGGCGAAACTTGACTCGCGCTACCCGGCCAACATGACGCGGTTACTCAGTTTGGTCACGATCTTCGAACCTGAGCAAGACTGCTCAACAAATATGAGGTAAGCATAATTTGTTTTATTCATGCTTATGTATAAACATATTGAAACAGTTTTTAATACTAAACAGTACCCAATTAAACAGTTTTTTAATACTGTGTGCATTGGGTGATCGGAAATTTATTCATCATTAAAAATAAAAGTTTAAAAAATTGAGAAAGTCAAAAAAATTTATCAATTTTTTTGACCGTAGAATTCTTTGTGTAAAGAGAGAGGATCGATATAATTTGACCAAAATTTATATACGAGTATGAGCCACGAATAATTTTAAATAATGTAATCAATATTATTATCAAAATTAAATAAACAATTTGCAAATGTAAAGCAAAAAAATCCTAAAATTTCGTACTAACTACCTTTATAATGTGTTTTCTAGCGTAAGACATCTATGTATTATTATTATTATTTACTAAATCGCGCATTAAATTATATTATAGTCACGAAAGCATGCATAAGAAAAGCATGCACCAGGATATATCATGCTGAAAACGAGGATTTCGGCCAATCTGCGCAAATTGTTCAAGCAATACATTTCTCGCCTTGGCTTGATAAATGAATTATGCATGTAAGAAAATCTTTGAGCCTGAAGTGATCTCTGAACTGCGTAGAAACTCGACCGCTAGCAGTGGTGTTCGTTTCTTGTAAACGCGCTGGTTTCATTCGCATTTTTCGCATCATGTACGGTTGCAGTTCCGGTCTCCTATTGAATTCATTGAACACAGTGAATGATTCTGCCTGCATCGTAATTTCCGCCATAGCAGGATAGACCAATAATTAATCAAACGGATTTCAGATAATTTTTCCTGCCTTATTTCCTAAACTAGCAATGTTGACGCAATTGATGTTCTCTTACCTAAAGCTGCCACACAAGCTGTGCTTGTTACATAAATGTTCATAAATGATGTTCACTCCCTTGAATTCAAGTTCTGCGGCCATACTTTCATAACTCGCTAAGTGAACGTAAGTACTTACGCTCTATTTTCTTGTCTATAATTGGTGGATTTTGCTTGAATGGCCGTCAATGATTGGCTGATGAACTTACGATCTCTTAACTTTTTTTGAAAGTATAGGCCGTGGTAGGCGACATTCGCATCCGTATATGTTCACGAACTCTACGTTCATGATCCGGGTGTTCAGGCACTGAATGTTCACGTACTTTATTTTCCCGCACCAGATGCTGCCATACATGACGTTTACGTTTGATGTTCAAATACTTGATGTTAGCGAACTTGTTGATCAAACTATGCTAGGGACTCGGTACAATAGATAAATTTATTACATAGTAAAATACATCTTTTCTCTCATTTATAAATCGGTTTCAAGTCGCCTCTGACGTGACCTGGCTAAGTCAAGTTTATTACTTAGAGATCTACTACCGTGATTCCATCACAAAGCGATGTACCAATACTATGCGTTTCAAGATTTTTTAGAAGAAATTGGGGAAATTATTTATATACTTCTGTACCTACTTCAATTGTTCATTAACGCATAATATTCTTCGGTAATATGATTACTTATTGCGGTTAGATTATTTATAAAAGTCCTAAATTTGTGTTTATTTATATATTTCCAAAAGAGCAGAAAGTCTTAGATTAAGAGCGAGAATCGGCAATCAATAAGCTAGATTAAAGAACATTTATCAAGTCTTACCTGGAAAAGAAGTGTGCGTTGTAGTTTCATTTACATATTTACTTTTATTTCATTCAAGTATTTTGTATTATATGTAAATGTTTGTCAAACATCATTGTGTTCCGTTATTATGAACTATTAATCTAAATTTATAATTATAATTTATATTTCCCGTCTTACGATCACAGATTTGAAACCTGGTATCATTGAAGATTTTTTCATATTCAATAGTATATGTGCATCGAATAAATAGAATTCAAGTTTAAAATTTTCGTGCATGATGATTCTACATAATATATGCGAAGTTCAAATTCAATTATTTCATGCAAACGTATAAAATGTAGATGTTTATTGCACAGTTACGTGGTGCTGATATTCCTTTATGTTTATTCTTTTTCCAATCAGAGACTTAACGATCTCTGGATTCGTGCTCCATGAAGGATGCTGCTTGATACGTTGAAAACTAGAACACAATTATCATTCCAGATTAATTAATAATTTTTTTAATATGAGCAGAAGCAATTCATTTATCCTTAGGCACTTCTTTGTTATTGGTCTGTCTCATTTGCTTCTCACTCTCGGACTCATTTAAATCCCCTAATTTTACAACACTTCTCTTTAACTTCACTTCTTGTTTGTCTGTCTGTTTGTCTGTCTGCTACAAATCTTATAATCGAAATTTAAAACACTTTACTGCTTATCCTATCGATCTGAAATTTTTCACACTTGCGTAAAGTTGGAGATAATGCAAGAATCAAATGACAAAATAAATGATTTTAAAATTAAATTTTTTTTTATATTAAAAAAATTGAAAAAATCATTTTTTCAACTACCAAGCTTATAACTGATACTTGACACACTTTTACCTGTCCAGTTGAATTTAAATTTTGCACATTTGTGTGAAGTCGGAGGCAATGCATGAAAGAATAAATAATTTTGAAAAATTTTTATATATTAAAAAAAGTTAAAAATTAATTTTTTTTAATATTCGAAAATAAAAAGTGAAATTCGTTGTACATCTTTAACATTGGAGAAACTGGATTCTTATCGAAGCGTTGTCTTAAAAAGTTTTTTTAAACGCATATTATTTATTTATAAATCAGTTTCCCATATTTTTTCCTTGCAGTGTAAAAGAAATAAATTTATTCGTACTAAATTAGATGCCTACATTCAAAAGAAATTAATTCAAAGTTAGCAAGGTTCGTTTTGCATCAAATGAAATTTGGTATCATCATTTGGCATAAGATTCATTACGCACTGTTTGCGTCTTTACAGATTGTATGATTAGAAAAATGTGATAGGTGGTAGCGTAGAAAATAATGTAGAAAATTTTGAAATTATGAATGTATTATAAGTAAAAATAAACATTTATCAATGTTTATCAATGACTCTTTGTATTTACCGCGTCTATGGGAAAGAACGTAGAGTCAACATTGCATATTTTAAATCACTTCAAATTATAGATGTTCACTTATACATGTTCCCAACACTTTGACTGTAAATTTACCAACTTTTAAAAATATATTCATTCCATAAAATTCATCGCGTAATTCAGACCAGCTAAAATAGAAGCATGCAGTTCTCTCGGGCAATCGCCAATTCCTCTTTCTTGATATGTTTGTTGTATTTAGCTTGTTTATGCCTACATCGACTCTCGTGCAGCAATATTTAACTGAGTTTGTTTTAAGGCGTCGAAATGAAGTATTCGGGTTGCATGCCCACATCGCTTCTCATGCAGCAATCTTTTATGGAGTTGCGGCGAAATAGAGTATTCAGGTTACAAGATAAGGCCAAGTCAGTGCCATAGGTATCGTATTCTGCTATATAACGAGCTGGGCACTACTATGTTGACTCGTAGTCCATTTGCTGCACGACGCGTGAACGGTCGCAAAGATGGTAAGCCAGGCTTTGATTTCGAAATCTTGTTAAATTCTATGGTGATTTGCCATTTGATTTGAGCCCGAATTTCATGAAATTTTCAAGTTATCGAACGAAATTCTATACAATTTTCAAGTTATCAATCGAAAATTTTGAAGTATTATTTATCGTTGATTGTGTTCACCATAGCCAAGAATACTTTTACGTCGCCTTTCTTATTAGTTAACAGTTCAACAAATATCCAAGACCAATGAAAGGTCACGTGTTTATTTGTCGCCAATTTAATTATTATTTATTCTGAGCTTAAATAATTTTTATTTATCGCTAATTTAATTTTTATTTCTTGTGCGTGTCTGTTTATTTCCCAAACAGTGAGCCAATTAATGATAAAATTTAAAAAAGTCTTTGAGACGAGAACTCAAGAAAAAATTCTCATGCTAATTGGTTTACAACGTAACTTCCTACTTATTTTTCTCCGAAGAATTGAAGAAAACGACAGCAATAACATGGCAGGTGTTGACATGCCAGTCGATCCCTTTCTTCCGCTCTCATATATAGATTCAAATAATATTTATCGCGTTATTCGTTAGCCAGACAATACGACAATTATTTTTTTTTTCTTACTTCGAATATGAAGAAATTCATTTCATTTTCTTGAATTAACTGATCCTATATTAATTGTATCCTCTACGTTTTCTTTACCGGAGCAGAAAAATTTCGCTTACAATGTAATCGATCATTTCATTTATCTCCTTCAATTCTACAACTTAAAGTTAATTATTTTGTTATAGTTTTCGATATTTAAATGTAAAAATTCTGCAATTCATGTCACGAGCTTGCATGTCTGTAGTCACGTGTCACTGTCTGTGTAGTAATAACCCTAACAAAATTTAGAGTCGCCCCAGCCTCTGGTAATTCAAATCAGAAGCTGCCGCGTCTGTAAATTTTCACTGTGTTATTTATTTTCTGTGCGGTCTTGTCTTTGCAGTTAGTCGCCGCCGCCCCACCCCAGTTTCCTAAGGCGCGAGGCATTGCAACTCAGGCAACTCAGGCGAGAGGCGTTGCAACTCAGGCAACTCAGGCGCGAGGCGTTGCAACTCAGGCGCGAGGCGTTGCAACTCAGGCAACTCAGGCGCGAGGCGTTGCAACTCAGGCAACTCAGGCGCGAGGCGTTGCAACTCAGGCAACTCAGGCGCGAGGCGTTGAAACGAAGTCGCCTGCACTACCCGAAGCTCAAACAGAGCTTCGAAAATGCAGCAAAGGTAATTAGGAAATTGAAGTTTATTTTTAATTTTGAATATTTTTCCTGAATCTCTTATTTGGTTCACATACGAATGTAAATCCACAAAGCAAATATTTGATGGTCCACATACGAATTTAAAGCCACAGAGCAAATATTTGATCAAGTGAAATGGTCGTCAAACGAGGCGTAACTGCCTTTTTAATTTAAATTGTACGACAAAATAAAATTTAGTAATTTTATCATCTTTAGGTTGCCATATTAAAAATAATTTGATTATTGGAAAGACTTTTACTACCAAACTACATGTTTAGAAACACAATAGCTGTGATTTCATCTCAAGTTAAATGCATTCCAATTATTATCAATGAGGGAACCCTAATTCATAAATATCGGAAAGTATTAAAACTACACTTATTTTTGAAATTTCATCAGTTTCATTACTTCCCAGGTTTGCCCCACCTTGTTCTGCTGTTGGTCGTTGCATCTTTGGCTGCCAGTTCGCTGCCGTTGGCTGTGGCGAGCTCGCTCGCGCGACAAAGGAACAACTACTACCATATTACAGTTGGTAATACCTCCGTTGAGATGAGCTGCAGTGAACCTATCAACTCCCTTAACTGCGCCTGCCCACAAGTCCTCGAAATCTACAGTAAGTATTGGCATCTAAAAATTTATTTATATAAATTTTAATTATTCATTGATCAAATATAATATATATGTTCTTCGATTTACCACGTTTGGCTCCAAGATATAGATTATTATTTTTAATTTTTCTATGAAGAATGCAGAGATAGAGTGGATGTCGTACAGTTCAAAATATTTATCGTTTATTTAAAAAATAATGTAACATAAATTAGACCTGATTGCCTTATGCACTTTTAGAAATTATTATTAGAAATTTTAATGTAGCGTCTTTGGAAAAATTCATTCATCTGTACAACCGTTGTAAATATAATCATTTGTTTGGTTCTCAACTGTACGTAAACGCACAAACAATTTGGCATGAACTCATTCTAATCAACGTAAACTTGCCATTTTTTTAAGTGTACAGTTCATGATACCTCTTTTTTTTATATTTACAGACAGTCATCCGTTCAGCCTGAGAGCTGCAAGGGTAAGAACATTTGAAGTATTCAGATTGTAATATCAATTAAATTGCAAAAATTTCACTAACAATCTTTGTGAAAATTTGAATTAGCTGTGTAATAAGTTTGTAGCAACATTTAAAAATATATAAAATTAGTCCTAGTTTAACCTAATGATTGACCTGACTAGTTATTTAATGGAGATAATGATACTTGATTTTTTACTATTTTTTATTCATTAATCGAGTCTTAGGTTACGATTGCTTTAACAGGCATTTGTTAGTCATTTTTGGAGTTTAGAGCAATTATTTATTTTTTCAACGTAAAGTGTAGAGATGCGACGATCGCAATCCAATGTCCCATAATTTCGTTGAAGTTTATTAATATTGAGAACAAGAAAAGAAACATTATCTTTTTTTTATTCACTACCAATGATTGTTTGCATTCATAAAACTCGGAAAGCCACAGACTTCGTGACTGAAAGAATTTCTGACATCGCAGAATGTCGATGTGTACAACGACCGCGACGCAGTGATGCGCCACTGCTGCAACCACCGGCACTGCTGCGCGGCACATCTTAAAGTTTTTTGTGACGGGTACCGAGTTGGTTGGTGCGACAGAACAAATCGTCCACCCATCACCTACAGTACTTGTTAAACATAGGAATATCCTATGCGTACCTACATCATCTACTGTACTTGTAACTCATAGGAATCTTAGTCGTCCACATATCACCTGCTGTACCTACTGAAAGTAGGAATGCTAGTCAACCACTCCCCACCTACAGAACTTGCAGCTCCTATGAGTTCTAGTCATCCACCCATCACCCCACAGTTCTTGCAGAACATAAGGATCTCGGTTCAAAAACTATTCTCACACGACAAATAGCAGAAAAGAAATTCATTCTGTTCTCTGAAGCGACATCAACTCAACTGCTACTCAAAACCATTTGAACGACTGCATGTCATAACCCCCACTGTGGGCAGAAAATCGCTAAATAATTCTGCCTTCTCCGTGGATAAAAACAGTAGTAATTTCAATCTATTGTTAATTACTCCCGTATAAAGCTTCCATCAAAATTTCTCGATATTCCATTACACTATTGATATCCTGAAAGCAGAAACCATCGTTATTTAGACTCATGATTGATCTCAAAAATCTCATTAAAATAAAATATTTTATTCTTTAGAAAAAACTATTCTAGAATAAGAATATGACTAAAATACCTAGAGTAAGGGAGATATTTTCCAACTGCAGTTATACATTAAAGCGTAAAGCAGCCAAGTGCAGGTACATCTCTTAATTCGTGACCATACAGAGCTGTTTACATCTTGTCACCACTGTGGGGCCGGATTTTATCCAACCTTTCCTTATTGTATACACCGACTTTGATATTCTCTACGGCCTTCATACTGGAACTCTGAAGATTTTATGCTAAATGATTTGATACAGCTTTGAAAAAATGGCTTCTAACTGACTAGCTCCTAACCTTTTCCTAATTCACTTAAAATGTACGAATTTTTCTGTTCAATGTAAGTTTGAAAAATTTCCTATGCAAATTCTTCAATATTCTTCGAAAATTTTTAGCCGCCATTAAGTCGAAAGTTAATTGTAAAATAATGTCCCGCTGATCAGAAATAAAAAGCTTGTGATTAAACAGATGTGTTATTTTGTCGCTGTAAAAACCTAAAGTGCATCCATCAGTTCAACTGTGGTTGATAAAGTTTTTTTCCGCGTCTACGATCAAAAAGACGAAGATCTAATAAAGTTTTGCTGTCGTTAATAAAGTTTTGTTGTCTTGTTACGCTCAGCGAACCTTAAATATTTGTAGCGTTCGACTGCTTTAGAATTACTGATGATTCAGGATCGGGAAATTGGTGGACAGTTCTAAGCTGGCAAGGAAACTTCGTAAAGCTGCCGTAGGTAAAGGGATAGGACATTTCTTTGTAATGAAGAAGACAAGTACGACGAACAAACTCGAACACCAACAAGTTACGTCTCGAGTTCCCAACCTAACGAAGCCACGTTTTGATCTCAGACTGAATGGACTTTCGCTCATGTAAAAGTTGTGTTGGCTATAAGGAGACTCGCTTAATAGCACCGCTAAGAGTTTTTTTGCTGTAAGGATAATATTGCTCTTTACTTTAGGAATAACTGCACACGTGCACTAAAAAATTCATAACATCATCCATGAATTATTTGGAAGTGAATAGATTTCTTACAAGAATGAAGTAAATTCTCTTGCATTTTATGTAGGTGCATAAACACAGTAAACTCCTAAATTGAAAGATCAGTATACGAAAAACATCGAAACTAAAGCAAGTCCCGAATACTCAACTGCTGACTTTCGACTGTCACTAATACCACTGAAAAAAATGAGATCCTAAAAATTGCAGGATCAAATTTTCGCAGCTTTGAAATGCTTAATACATCGGAAACTGTATGGGCTCATATTTTAGAACATTTTTTCTCAACTCTGAGATGGAAATATAACCATGTCACTTTTTATTGAACTGTATTTGAGTCAACCAGATGACACAGTTTTTGAAGCCAGCATTTTCAGGCCGTTAGAACTAGACTTTCCAGGCAGTTTAACCAGAATAAGAGAGACCATAGGAACAGACTCGCTACATTGGCTCTGCGAATGACGAGCTCGGCCATAAGACCTGTAAATGCTGCTAACTCGTCAAAGAAGACCAAGCCTTGTGTCGTCAACCTAGCGTTATTTAACGTGAACGTCGTGATGTATCTTTACAGATATTGCGATAGTTTGTGGAACAGCCAATTATTAGTGAAATATTTACTTCAGATTTAATTTTAACACGATCTTTTTAATTTAACATGATGAGAAAACGTTTAACCCAGCAGCGGTATTTTCATCCGAAGATGTCGGTAACATTTCTCGGACTCAGTAACGTTTCTCGAACATTAGGTCCTAATTCAAACGACGCATGGCCTATAAATACTGTACATTATATTCGAAGCGTCAACTGATATAATAAAAAACTAACTAACTAACTAACTTATATAATACGTATAAGTTCGCTAATCCGAAAAATACGTCATCAATTCCACAAATAATATGAAAGTAAATAGCGACTGATTTCCCTAAAATAAGTTGTAATATCAGTGTCGGCTCGTAATAAGAATATGAACAGCTGCTTAATCATTTACGCTCAAAGGACGTTCGATTCATCATCATCGAGATTACCACGATATGAAACAAAACAGTGTTCGTTAGAGCACAGTTTCGCAGGGCAGCTTCTTCTTGAACCAAGCTTGATTACGTTGCTGCGATATAATTGATATTGCGTTGCTGCGATATAATTAGACAACCTCATTATTTTCCCAACTTTTTTCTATCGAAAATTTTATTTTTTTACATCCAACACCGTGTTAAGCCGCATACTTAAACATACGAAATTCCACAAACCATAATTTTTCATTCAAAATTATGCATTTTCAGTTCACTGAAGTCATGAATCTGAGATAAATGGATAAAATAGAGCAAGGCGATCTATAGTTAGGAACATCCAGCCAACCATGTTTACATTGCTCATTCTGGTGATTAACACTTCACAAACACGTTCGTTACGGTAATTAAATCCATTAAATCCAACTACTGTTCCTATAGTTGAACTCAATTAGAGTAATTTAGCTATAACTGTATTTTATAGACTCACCAAATTTTCAACGATCCCACCCTCGATGTGTATTTTTCCGTCTGTGCAATCCTGTCTTCGTGGTCATAAATTTCTCACCTCCCACGCCGGGGGGACCACGCTATTTGTTCACGAGAGATGTCGCGAGTCCCATTTAAATAAATTACCCAAGTTCACCCCAAACTTTCGCCAATCGTTCAGCAACGAAAATCAATCGGCGGAACATAAAACTCACTAACGGCTCTGTCGGGCGGACCGTTCAAAACAAACGCCCGAATGACGACCCAACGCTTGCGCAAGAACGGGCACAAAAGACCCAGAAAATCTGGCCGCCAGTACAAGAAAATTTTGTGAAGAAGAAACAGGAAATCTTTTCAGAATTTCTAAAGAAGCCTCGGCTTTAATTCAAAACCTCAAGTTCCAGTTTCTCATCATGCAGTCCTATCTACTTTTTGTTGGCCAAAAAAGGAAGTGTGAACTATTTGAACATTTTCAATAATCCATTTATATTTTTATGGCTGGAAAATTATAGATATTCATGTTTTTAAAACGTTTTATCAGCTAACATTAATTGACTCCCAAGTAAATTCTACCCATAAAACTACCATTAATAATGTTAGCATTGATAATCCACTTTTCTCGCAATATTTGCATGGAAATTTATGTTTAATTAATGGGGTCATATACAGATTCATGCTAATCCTAATTGTCATGTCTAACATATAAATATAGCTAATTTATAAACGCTGGCTAAAAACTTATCCGATAAATTCTAAGGAGATATCGACCCTTAATTCCATGACATGAAAGAAAATAATGAATCTGCAAGACGGAGGAAAAAACGCCCAATAAATATAAAACCCGCGAAAGTTATTCAAATCCACACGCGGAATTGATAAGTTAATGGACGTTGATAACTTACATGATACAAACAGCAAACACGACCTAATTATGGTATAATAATAATATGATACTATAATACTATATAATATAATAATATATATACTATAATTTAATATAATATAATACTGTTATTTTAAATAATGCTATTATTATATGATATAATGGAAATAATAAGTAGATTCTAGGATACTTAGCTACGGATCGTGATATTCCCGAAACACGAAGAGAATAATATCTCATATTGTATTACTTTCTGAGGAAGCAGTCGATCAAATGAAGATTCTTCAATAGGAAAAAAGTTGTGCCGAAACTTAGTTGGAAACTAAAATGAACTCTCGATGAACTCGGAAACCGATACTAAACTTTCGATGGTTTGTCCTGATCTGCGGAAAGAACAAATGAAACACAATTTCTCGGGCTAACTTTCGAAATTTATTACGCCGTACGTATTGTATTTTGCCGATCAGTTGCGCTTTGTAAAACATTAAATGTAAGATTTTTAGCGCCTTTTCTCTTTATAAAAAAATGCACTATTGTGCTCGCCATGTCGGTCTGTCCGTCCGAGACTTCACGTTTTCTTCGATTTTAAGAAGCGGGCATGCCTGTATCAAAGATACGACATCTCTAGCTCTAATGCACTGTACTAATCCCAATGAAAACTGATTTTTGCACGAGAAAATGCGCTCTCAGTCACTCACTGCCGTGAGTACTGAGTTATATTTATTATACGTTGCTTTCTACTATTTGCTGAATTCTAATCCTTGCTCCAAATTTACATTTGAAGCTCGAAAATTCTGAAATTTCATCGAGTTAGTTGCTCACTGTATCAACCAATCATTTTTACGTTAATGGAAATTTAATATCCTCTACTAAATATTTTCAATAATTTTCATAGCGAAAAGTAACGACCCCATTTTATTTATAGTCTCGGCGTTATAAACGAAAAATGTAACGAAATTAATCTAATAAGTAAAACACAAAATTCATTACCTTAATTTTATTTTACACAGAACCACACGTGCATGTGCGCTAATGCAGATTAATATTAATTATAAACACGAACCCTTGAGTTGAAGTGCTAATGCATCCTTGAGTTGAAGTTAATGCTAAGAAGAAGGAGCTCCACGTGCCACTCCAAGATGAAGTCATTTAAAAAATTATTATAATTGGTAATTTATTCGAATATTCATGAACTAAAATAATAGCTCTTTGCTTGAAAATAGAACAAACTTAAATATTTTCTTGTATCGTAAATATAATATTACAGTTTCCAAGAGTTTGCTATGAATAATTTAGTACAGTTAAAGAAACCTGCAAGTAAAAGCTAACAGTGAAGAAGTTCCTAAACTTTTCAAAATTATACTAAAATATTTGACCCATCTCATTACAGCAATTTACCCGTAAAATTGAAAAGTAAATTACAAACAGTATTGTTTCATTATAGTGAAGCAAAGTTAAACACGACAAATTAATTGACTGCCGGCAACCGAGTTGAAATATTTCAGTTTCCCGAGCTTTCACAATAATTAGTAGAAGGTGGTGGCTCTCTGAAAAATAAATGCACCGCTCCTCAGTATGTGTGATTATTTAATATCGAAACATGAACAATTTGTCGAAATATGATGCCTTCCGACCATTATATTCCTTTCATCGAGTAACTATATGACCATATCGGAGAAAATAAACTTTACTAAAAAATTTAATTTAGTCTATCCTACAAATACCAAATCGCGTTCAAAGAAATAAGTTCTGGAATATCATACAATCTGTTGTACGAGTTACCGTTTCCTTACGAGCCTCCGACCTACTTTAAATGTTAAAAAATGTGTCAAAATGACATAACTTGGATCGCATCTTCAGTTTCGCAAATCTCAATTTTCAAATCTATTTAAATTGTTATTGCATAAAAGCGATGAATAACGCTAATAAAAGAAAACATCTTTCGATTAGGAATGAAAATTTATAATAATTAATGTAACAAATTTCAAATTCAAATTTACTAATAAGTTCTTTCTTATTGTATTTACTTTTAATTCATAATTAAAGACACGTGTCAGGTCCTTTGCTACTTCGTGGCCGGACCTGAAACTTC